CTCAGGTTGTGATCTCAGGTCCTGGAATAGAGTCCTGTGTGGAGCTCCCTGCTCAGTCATGAGTCTGCTTCTTCCTCTTTCCCTGCCCCTCTTCCTCACATGCTCATGCTCTTGCTCTCTCTCAAATAAATAAAACCTGGGGGGAAAAAGCATAAAGGGTCCAATATTTGCAGGAGTACATTGAATATTACATTGTAAAAATACTGAAGTTGAAGAATCCTTGCCCTGAAGTTGACTTGCTTTTTGATAGAAGTCATTGATAAATTATCAAAAACTCTTCATCCCCATAAAGTTCAAGTAAATTTTTGGTAGGGTTGATGTTTTGAAAACAGAAGAATAAGGACTACACATAAAAAATGGGCCTTTGTTCTCTTAGTTTCCATTCATAGGGTAGGAATTTTACTACAGAAGGTAAATAAAATCAAGTAATTAAAAAAGTGTCTATCCCATGTAGACTTCAAAGAAAGATCAAGTGTTGGAAGAATTCATAGTCACAAATGATCTTTATATGTTGAAATGGGGTGGGGGCAGTCAGAACAGATGATAATGTGAAATAAAGAATGAATGCCTTTGGGACCTCTGATGTGACACATGTATCAAATGACATATATATTCTGCCTAGAAGACTAGTATTATAAGTATTTTTCAAAACCTTCCTCTCAAGTGCAGCATTGATGACCACAAGTAGAGTAGTGCATGGGTGCAGGAGATGGCTTAAAATAACCTATCAGAATGGGCAAACCTCATAAGACACCCATCTTCAAAAACCGATATGTTTTCTAATGGAAATGAGCTGAGACTTACTCTAGAAAGAACTGAGATTGCTAGGTGGAAGTTTTAAAGGAAGATTCAGTTAAAAATCTAAAACAAGCCACTTTTGTAGGTAATGAGATTTCCATCTTGAGGGCACTGGGAATACCTTGTCAAGATATTATAAATGTGATTCCAGTCTGGTAGAGGACTGGGGATAGCTGCTAAGTCCCCAAATTGTAAACTTTATGGGTATGAACATTTTGAGTAAACAAAATGGTTTTCAAGCATTTTCATTTATCACATATCAGCTATTTCTGTGGAAGAATATTCTATGAGTCAGAGGTAATTCTTGAACATTCTTTTCTCAACAAAATGGAGGTTTTTGCACTCCAACACTTTCGTTCAGAAGTGGAAGGGTATGCTTTAGTGTGAAAGGAATGAATCAAACAGCCCAGAAGCCATGGCAAGATGAACCTTCTCAATCAAGGTATCAATCTTCATTAGCCTGCTTGTAGAAGTGGAATACAAGTCATAGGACAAGAAAAAAATGTGACCATTATTTTAGAAATTTTGTAATACTTGTCAGAAAAACCTGAAAACAGTTTAAGTCAAAGTGATGTATGTTGCTTTCCAAGGCAAGGAAGAATCTCTTTAAGATGGCTGCTTTGGTCCAATACTTCAAGGCAATTACATTATAATCTTTCTTTAGAACAAGAACATTTTCCAGGTTCTGGGGAATGTTTTTAGTGATAAACACTGCCTCTGATTAGAGATAGAAATACATGGGGAATTTTTGCCACGTTTTGTGATTTTTAATGCTTTTTCAACGTCTTAGATGAATCTCCTCCAACATTCCAGAATAATAGAAAACAACTTCAATATTTAACTTATACCAAAGTAATACACAAAAGAAAGAAAAACTGAGATCAACTCTTACCAGTCTGCATACGATTTAAGCAGGAATGTGGGGAATGAGGGACCCTCAGTTAATATTTCACTGAAGCTGTTCAAATTGAGAGATGACAAAAAAAAAAAAAAATCCTCCTACATCTTGCATATTACCACTGCTGCTTTCTGAAGACAGTATTCATTAAGTAAACTTGATTGGCAACAATCGATGTGTGCTTTTGTTTAAAAGAAATGACTATGAATAAATCAGTTAGTTAGCAACTTTGTTATCCAGATGGCAATAATTTTGAGAGAGATTGTGAAAGGGGTATCAATTATTTTTAATTAAGCCAGCCTTCCTCATCCCAGACACTGTCTTCCTCTGAAGCAATACTTTGAGTGATCTGCTGGGTGACATTTGGTGGAGGGAGATGACTAATAGCTTTGAAGTTTCAACACTACCACCTGAATTCCAAGGCACAAACACTACTGCACTTTCCAGTTGTAAAACCACAAACACTACATGTATTTGATTATGATGATCTTTTCAATTCAGTTAAAAGCATAAGGTAACCTGTTTTTATGTGTCTTGTGGGTGGCACATGCAATGATAAGGGTATATAAATGCCACAGTCTGAGAAGTAGCATTCAAACTCAGAAGCTTTTCATTGTACAATGCATCACCTGTCACCATGTCCTACAACTGCTGCTCTGGAAACTTCTCCTCCTAGTCCCATGGGGGATACCTGTGCTACCCAGGATCTTTCTGCAGCTCATCTTACCCCAGCAACCTGATCTGCCACACTAACCTCCAGTATCCCAGCACATACCAGCTGGGCTCCTCCCTCTCCAGTGGCTGTCAAGAGACCTGCTGTGAGGGAGGGAGACAAGATGGTGGGGAAGTAGGAGGAGGTGCCTTTTCAACCTGTACCCCAAAGTGAGCTGATTACCTGCCAAAGAACTCCGATCACCCATGAAATCAGCCTCAGATCAGAATTATACACGTCTGAATCTCTACGGGGGCAGAAGGCGCCAGTGGGCAGGTAAAGCAGAGTGGGAATGTCGGACTGATATTGAAAGATAAACAAAAGGGGGAGGGAGCCACAAGAGGCAACCCATTGGAAAGTAATACCCCAATATGAGAGTGCTCTGCGTCTGGGGACCAGCATCAACTTGGAGTCTGGTTGAAAGCACTCAAAAAGAGCAAAGGATCGTGGGGGGAATTTGTGGGAAACAGGGTGGTTAGGGACAGTGGCTTAAGTACCCGGACCCAGGACAGCCACCCCTGGTGCTGAGCCAGAGAGAGTGCAGCGGAGAAACCAGGTCTTGGTCCCTGAGCTGCCAGCGTGCCTGAGAGCGCATGCAGTCCGGCTCCCGAGAGGGGCTGGGAGCCTGGCCAGCCGGCAGAAGCACAGCCTTTTTGCATTCCCCACGTGAGTGCCTTGCCATGCTAATCGAGTGTGATTTGAGCCCCGCGCCCTCCCCTGAGAGAGGTGCACGCAGGCGCCAGCCCGGTGCTCTTGGATTCAGAAAGACCAGGCACTCCCAGCCCAGGCCAGCGGGAAAATCTCAGTGTGCGATTGCTGCTTGGAACCTCTCTGGAGGTCCGAGCCGCCTAGACAGCTGCTGATGTCATGGTTTTGAGTACAAGCAGGAGCTACTGTGTCCCCAGGGACGACTCAGAACGTGCTCTGCCAGCAGCTGAGGGGGAACAGACTGAGGCTTCTCTCTGAGAGGAAGGTCTGGGTGCAGTTTGCTTTTCTCTAAACCTCCAAAAACCATCAAAAGCTGTCAAGGCAAGAGAGAAACAAACAAACAAACAAACAAACATAAAAACCTCCAGAGAACAAAAGCCTGAAAGACCGGTTTCCTCAGAGCCCACCCCCTTGAGGGAGGCTGGAGGACTTAACTCAGGGAACATTGCCTGAAAACCCATGTGGCAGGCCCATCCCCCAGAAAAACAACCAGGAAAAAAAAAAGACGACAAGAGAACAACCACCATAAGATACTTGGGAATAAACCTAACCAAAGAGGTAAAGGATCTGTACTCGAGGAACTACAGAACTCTAATGAAAGAAATTGAAGAAGACATAGAAAGATGGAAGACCATTCCATGCTCTTGGATCGGAAGAATAAACATGTTAAAATGTCTATACTTCCTAGAGCAATCCATACTTTTAATGCCATTCCGATCAAAATTCCACCAGTATTTTCAAAGAGCTGGAGCAAATAATCCTAAAATTTGTATGGAATCAGAAGAGACCCTGATTCGCTAAGGAAATGTTGAAAAACAAAAATCAAACTGGGGGCATCACGTTACCTGATTTCAAGCTTTACTACAAAGCTGTGATCACCAAGACAGCATGGTACTGGCATAAAAACA